TCTGAGGGATTCTGTTTTACACTTGAAAGGTGCTAGCTTTGCAAAAAATGAAGTTTGTTAAGCAATTTATGAACACTGATGAGTCTTTGTAGGTGTGGGTTTCACTCTTCCCATCTGAAGAGACACTGGAGTTTACTGAGGGCTGTGAGGCTGTATGAATGAAAAGATAACCTGTAAGTTTTAATTGCAAATATGAGGATGTAACCTAGAATTTACAGCATTTGTTCATCAAATTTCAAAGTGGTCCACACAGGAGGATAAAATTATTGCCTCCATTTTACAGATGAAAAATGCAGGTACAGCAAGAGAAGTTATTTGCATACAGGCATCTAGCAGGCTAGCAGCAAAATAAAAAAACCACTAAAGACTTGTTTGGCATCCCATCCAACAATCCACATTGTCTAATCTATGCAATTTTTTTGTCTTGACAGGGTTGCTGCAAATTGAGTTGAAGACAAGAAAAACTTGCTTTTGGCGTCATCAGAAGGGAAAGCCAGATACGTACCTTTCCACAATAGAAGCAATTTATTATTTCCTTGTGGACTATCATCAGGAGATTTTGAAAGAGAACTACAAAGGACAATATGATAATCTGCTTTTTTTCTTTTCTTTTATGTACACATTGATTAAAAATGCCAAATGTTGTGCAGGAAAAGAGTAAGATGTCTGTCTATAGGTAAGTAACACTACAGTTTGTTTCTTTCGTAATGATAAATTGCACAAACATAACTATTTTTATCTAATTGAAATCTGGAAATAAATAGTAGTCTTAATAGCTACAGCATTTGTCCAGAAGTAAGCTGCAGACGTCATGTCCTGCACACTTGAGGTTGCAGAGTTACTCAAATGAGCAGTCTGATTAGAACTAACTTATTTGAAAACAGTTATGCTTTGATAAATACTGCTGTGTTTTGAACCTGTGGACCTGATATGCTCATCACATCGAGAGTATTTCCTGAGGTGGGGATAGAAGGACTTGGCCCCTCTTGCCATAAGGAATGATCTAACTATAAAAAGGAGTTAGCGTGCTAGCTTTTTATTATTATTAATACTTTGTTTCAGGTGTTTTCTTTGTGTTTTATTCAGTTATACTGATTTCACTTTTATGTCATCAAAGCTTACGGAAATTATTGGGATAGTATTTAACTGGAGGGGACGAACAGACCAATACAAAATGAAAGACCACATTAATTGAATAGAATATAAATTGTGTACTTTCAAGATTAATTCTGGAAAATTGTCCTAGTATTAGAAAAGAGTGATCTCTTTAAACATCATTATACAGTGCATGATTTCTATAGTACCATTCACATACTTTTATATTAAGATTATTGTCAACTTCTTGGAAAATTTTAGACTTCTTTAAAAAATTAGTGTTTATTATTATCATTATTATGTAATATCATTACTATTTTGGGGAACACTAGCTTAACAAATGTCACTATGGCATATCATAAGCAGTAAAATTTTGTAGATGCCACATACTTGTATTCCAAGCAGCAGAAAGGGCTCACTGCACTGTAGGAGTTGTCTGAAAATGTAAATCTTTTCGCAGGACCAAAGACAAAGTAATTTGCAGAGACAAGAAACAGGGAAGATGGTGGTTCCGACCACGACATTTCTGACAAGACTTCCTTAAATTAGGCAGACTATGAATCTGCTGTGGTTTTTCTTTTGCAGTAATAGTGCAAATTCAAAGAGCATGAATAACACTTTGTCTGCGCTGATGAAATTTTTGCTGGTATGTGTAGCACTGCTGTCATAGTCATCACATGTGAATGTAATTACACAAGTGTGACTTTGCCAAGCTATACCAGTACAGCTAATGCTGGCAGAGGTAATAGACCTAAGCTATATTTTTTACAAGCGGAGTTATATGAATATATTTTTTTCATACTAGAATGTTCTGCCAGAAAAATTCACATTGGTAAAAATTATGTTTCATTAGAAGTATGATGTAAGATAGATAAGTGTTTCTGAATATTCTCAGAAGTGTTACTTAAAAAAATAAATCTTGTCAAAGTGACACAGATGATTGAAAAGTTATAATAGATTATTTTTTAAACAAAAATTCTGAAGTGTGTTGTATATTTTCCTCAAAAAAAATCTACCTAAATTATCACCTGTAGCATACTCTCCAGGAGGGTACACTCATACCCTGGTGAAGATAGAAACAGTGCCTTGAAAAATACTTCAAGAAAGTCTTTTTATGCTTACGCAGCAATCCACACAGGCTCAAACAACTGATTTATACTATGTTTTTTAATGCTTCAAGATACGAAATCAGAGTTAATATTGCTTAAAACACAAGATACAAATACACTCTCTCTGCAAGTCATACTTATCTTCAGGTTTGTATGCTTATCTGCACAAGTGAATGCGTGTAAAAATGCATTTCAGTGGACAATCAAAACATTTCCATTTGCAAAAAGAAACGCTAGTTAAGTTACATGAGTGCGCATGAAGTGTGCATGAACTATAACAGCACCACAAGAAACGCAGGCTCGAAGTCAGAATGAGAAAGATAGTTTTAAATATACATATATATTGACTTCATGTGCCAGGCAATGAGAAAAATCAGCAGTCATGTCTCAGTGCTATTGAAACAACACATTTCTTATTCATTTGGTTCTTATTGCTATTGAGAGGTTATTTTGGCTTTTTACAATTATTAATGCTATTTCATTTGGTATGAATTTTGATAGTCTTTTGACATTTCCATCTGTTCTTGTATTTCTTAAACAAAGATTGTTGTAATATTTTTGAAAAATCACACAAGTATAATAGCTTGAGAAGGAAACTTTCACCCACTTTAAACAAACAAAAATAAAATGAACCCACTGACCTAATGTTTTACAAGAACCAGAGAGAAAAATCGGGGCGGGGGGAGGGGGAGTTACTTCCAAGACATTTCCCTGAAAACATGTTTTTTTATTTAAGAAGCAGAGGTCAGATAAAAGCTTATATAAGCTGTTCTTTGTTACTTTTGGAAAATAGTTTCATAAGGTTAAAAATGGTTTCCAAATTTAAGTTTTGTGTACCTCACTTTATTTGAACAATGGGAATTAAGAATCTATTCCAAAAGTAAATTCATTTTAATTCTCAGGTGAAATCAATGTACAGAAAAGATTTTAAATCTGGAACACTGTGTCCAGGCATTGGGTTCAGATTCTTTTTCTTCCACTGCAACCTCAGTGTAATGCAAGAGTCATTCTTACACCAAGTGACAGAGGAACATCTAATATCTGTAATTAATTACGGTCTGTTGTATTCCCATGATAACCTTTTATGAGGGCAGGAAGGAGATTATTGTCACTTCTGCGGCAAATCTGTTCTGAGCAGCAGATGTAGTTTTCCCTTCTCTCCCATCTCCTGCTCTCCCCTCTGTAAAAACATTTAAATCCTCTATTTAATTTCAGTACTGGTATAAGCCACCAAACGAACCAAAAAGTTACCCACCTCACACTGAAAATGTCTCAATACCACTGATACATTTTTCCAGCTTTGAGACTAAAGAATAATTTTGTTCCACCAAATGAAAGCAATCAAGTGGTTAATCCTTTTTTCAAGTGCAGTTAGCAGCACTGACCTCCCTGTTCTTTAAAATGAGGGTCATGGGGAGGTAAAGACCAGTTCTGGGCCTTTTCTTTCATATCAGAATGCTCCTTCACTATCTCTTCTGTTTCCAAAGACATCAGAGAGCAAGGGGAAAAACAGGCTTCCACTTCCATTAGCAGTAACTTAAACAGCCATAAGTTAAAGGGGGAGGAAAAGGAAGAGCATCTCTATCTATCTGCTTTCACAACAGAAGACATCTGGCCTCCTTTGGGGAGGCCCCAGATAACAAAGAACCTGTCATTACAAACCTCCCCGATGTGTTCAGAGAACCATTTTACCTGCAGTCTGGCTCATTCATTTCCTGCCACTGAAGCCATCTGCTTTTGCTTATTGTAGGTATTTTTGTTCTTTGTTTGGCCAGGAGCGTGAAGTGGCTTCACTTTAGCATGCCTGTATGCTTGGTCAGAGGGAGTATTTAATCCTTTTCTCAAAATGAATAAGAGAGGGAGCTGCAAAAAAACAATTCCTTTCCTGGAAGGTAGCACAAATGTCATCCAAGCCTAGGTTGAATAAAGGGTCATGTCAGTGCATGGGGTAAAGATAAGTTGAGATTGAAAAGAGATGGCAACTTAGAATCTACAGGAGACCCTTCCAAAGCACTTGTAATCTCACCTGATTTAAATCCTTTGCTACTGCTTCTTGCATTTTTTTTTTTTTCCAGTTTGAGTCCATCTGGTTTTCCATATAGGCTTCTGCAGGCCCAGGTGCAGAGTAATGTAGTGATCTGCTCTTGCTTTTCTCTTGCACTGAGTTTCAGTATTTTGCCTGAATGCTTTAAAAATCAGTCTATTTTCACAAATTATGATCAGACTTTTATAAATTGTAACATGATGTGAAAATCCATTCCACCTATCCCTATCTTTGAAAATACTAAAATAAGGAGGAGGAAAAACTTCCTGTTAATTTCCCATCATTTACTATAATGCCATTAATATACTGCCAGGTACCATTGACTCGTGTCTCAAAGTATTCCAAAAAGCTGTGCATCAGCTGAATTCAAAATAGTTTTGCAACACAAAACTTAATGGTGACTGCAGCAATGTTAAAACAGAAAAGCTTTCCCACTAAGATAAAATAATTCTGTGGCAGTAAGATGCTGATCTATTGATACCAGAATATGAGGTCACCCATTAAGGTACTGAACAACTCAACATAATTCCTGAACTTTTGTCCCTTGTCTTGAGACGTCATTTCAGTAAAATGTGTTGATTTTGACTGGTGGTTAGTAATACCAACATTCAAAGTAAGAGTTTATATGAAAAATTGAGAACATTCTTCCTGTTCACTTGTTGGGAAAGATAACACATTGCTACCATTTTATGGATTCTGAAGAGAAATCTGATTCTGTAGAATTTTGAAAGTAGTGTATCACATTAAACTAAAAACACTCGTGGTGGTGTGGTTTCTACACCACTACCTGCCACAGAAAAATCTATTTTTTCTTGAGTCCCACAGCAAGAGGTGGGAACTACTTCTCTAATGCAAAACAGACTTTGTATTTTCACCTCACAGAAAATAGAAATTTTTGTCTAATTTCAGCAATACTGGTGCTGTTACAACATTCAAATCAACTATGATTTTGCTGCTGGCTTCTCAGACCACTGGTGTTGCAATAGGATGTTTAGAAACATACCGCAGAAGAGTGAACAGAAGAGAACGCTCCACACCAGTATACCCAAGATTGAGTCCTACTCAACCTGTGGCCCTGTGCATTTCACTTTCCTTACCTGTAAAGTTAATTTCTGCCTCTGAATAACACATCTCTACATATGAAGCTGGGCCCATAAGCCAGTTAACTCAGCATGAAATCTAAAGGATGAGTATTATTACTTTAAAGGTTCTGATGGTAAAATTTTCCAACAACAGGGATAGAAGACCTATACAGAAGTATGTGTAAATATATATACTTCCCTCCTAGCGATAAACGTATTAGGACAAGCCAAAGATTTTCCTCTATGCTGTTTCTGTCTTAAGGAACGTAAAGACAAAGAAAATCAAAGTGTGGTATCGGAGTTTACAAAATTGAAGAAAAATTGTTATATGTGCAGAGCAAATGTATATTTTAATTAGATACAGACATATAGCTGAGCCTGTTAATGTACACAGATGAGTAGTTTGACTAGGAAGTCATTTAAGTTTGGATATGCTATCTG